CCTCCCCATGGGTATCAACCAAACAAGGCCTATCAAGGTACAGTAGGACTAAATGCCTCTCCTTGTATTCAGGCTGGGCAAGGCAACCCAAAAGAGGTTTTGTTTTGTTTTGTTTATCCCTTCGATGAAATAGTGAAAAAAAAAATGTGGCTTTGATATCGTATAAAAACATGAAGATATGGCCTTATAAATGAAAGGAAGACAAAACACATATTATGTCATACATGTGCTGTGTTGATAAATATTAAAGATAACAGACCTTTTTTAAAAAAATAAGAAGTTTTTTTAATGTAATAATAGAGAAATCTTAAAATGAGACAGGATTATTATTGCCTGGAATCCCAGCACTCAGGAGGCAAAGGTAGAGTATCATAAATTCCAGATCTTACCATGTATGGTAAGACCTTGTAAAAGAAAAAGAACCCTCACAAAACCAAACAACAAACATATCACAGTCAAACTCACCATCCCCTAGTATCAAGGACATCAAGATTTAATATAAAGCTACAGCAATCAAGACAGTACGGTGCTGAAATAACACATCAGTGAATCAATAGAACACAACTAAGTCCACAAATAGACCCTGTAAATATAAGGAACTGACCTTTGAGAAGGACCAAAGCAATTCAATAGGAAAATGCTTTTTCAGTCAGCGCGAAAACAATTGACATACCAGTTTTACACCTTTTACAAAATTAATTCAAAATTTATCACAGAGTCACAAAATGCAAACATACTACAATTTCTAGAAAATAACATAGGAAAAAAATAATCTTGGCCCACATTTTCTGTTTTTCACTTTAGCCGCAGACAGACTTTTCAGACAAGGGCAAAAAGCAACTACATTCTTCACCAAAATATCTCAAGAACAATTTCTAGGCAATGTACTAAAATTCTTCTCCTCTGGAGGAGGACCTTGGTCCTGCCTCCATGTGGCAATGTGACAAAATTCCTTGACTACCCAAGGGGGGGGTGCCTTACCGTCACTGAGGAGCAGAGAGGGGGTGGGGTATGGGGAAAGTGGAAAGAGTGGGTAAAGGGGAGGGAGGGGGAACTGGGATTGATATGTGTAAAATAATAATAATAATAACAATAATAATAAAAATTCTCCTCTGAGACATCTTGCTCAAACCCCAGACAGTTCAGGTCATTATCAGCACCATCGTCTTCCACTCTTTCACACCTCCTACTGGTATGGTCCATCGAGCAGTACATAAAGCATCCCGCTGCTGCTTTTGTAACCCAAAGTACCAAAGTCCAAATTCCTCCAAACAAAACCATGATCAGGCCTATCACAGCGACATCCCAGTCCCTGGTACCAACTCCTGTCTTAGGGTCTCTATTGCCGTGAAGAGACACCGTGACCACAGCAACTCTTACAAAGGAAAACTTTTCATTGGATTGGCTTGCAGTTCAGAGGTTCAGTCCATTATCATCACGGTGGGGAGCAGGGCGGTGTGCAGGCAGACATGGTGCTGGCTATATCTTGGTTAGGAGGCAACAGGAAGTGGACTGAGCAGCGCTGAGGGAATCTTGAACACAAGAGACCTCAAATCCCACCCCACAATGCCTCGCTTCCTCCATCAAGGGCACAGCCCTTAAGAGTACCACTCCCTTTGGGGGCTGTTTTCTTTCAGACCACCACAGACAGGTATTGATGAAAATTTAGAAAACAAAAACAAGAGACATCCTCAGCCACAATCCTGCCGTTCCTATTCCACTTCAGGATATGTTTCTTTCTGACCTATGAGAAGGGTTTCTGGTTTTACCTCAAAAACAGTCACTGTGAACATACTAGACAAGCTATTTCATGTTTTATACGCCTCGTTCATGTAATGTTAGCAATGAGCATTTGCTGTATAAACACTGCTCAGGTCATAACCCTCTGTGGAAAGCCCATGTCTCATGGGCCACAGCGTGACTCTGTTTACAGTGACCCTGGTGTGGGGATATTCTAGGCAGCTGCTGACAGTACTTTGCTCTGTCATCTCCATCCAGAAAGTGGGAAGAAATAATAGTGAAGACAACACCTACTGTATTTGTTCCTTCTTAATTGCTGTGATAAAAACGCCAAGACCACGGCGACTTATAGGGGAAAAATCTTATGCTCATGGTTCCAGAAAGTTAGAATCCTTGACAGTGTAGCAAAGACATAGAAGGGAAATAGGGAAGATGAGCACTTGTATCTAAGAGGAGAGAGCAAACTGGGAGTGGCTTAAGACTCCGAAACCTCAAAGCCTGCCTCCCGTGACACACACCCTCTAGCAAGGTTACATCATCTAAACAGCACAGCCAACTGGGACCAGGTGTTTAAAAGCGTGGCAATTAATATATGTTTTTATTTATACATATACTCAATCTTTTTTTTAAATACATAAAGTTCCTTTCTACTGGTAGCCTAGTATCACTATACTGACTTGAGTGCTTGGCTAGCTATGGCTCTGAACCATACTTACACTTTTACATTTAGGACCAGAGCCTTAAAAAGCTATTATATAAGAACACTCATGCTTAGGGCATTTGATTTAAGCTTATTCATTGACTTCTATATCATTATCTTTCAGTATGTCTAAAATATTTCCGTGGGAACCACACTCAGTGAGAAAAAAAAGAAACCTAATGTGTGCAAAAGTGACATAGAAGGGATCAAAAATCCCATTATTGTATTTTCCCTGACACTTGGCCTTCCAGGTTTTCCACATCTGAACCACATCTACCTCCTAGCTCATCACTCATAGCTACTCACACGTGAGCCAGCTAAAATTTATACCCAAGGTTTCTAACCGTACTGGGCATCTTTCTCATCCATTCCTTCTCTTGGTTTATTTCCTCTTCTCTATCTTAACCTGCCAAACCCCACCAACATTTCAAAGCTTGATTCGGTCCTTCCGAAACAGCCCCTTCATGGCGCGGCCAAGCGACACAGTCCGTGTTAAAAAGAGCATAGTTCAAAAAGGGTTGTAAAGAACCTCACACTTTATCCCTACAACCGTCCTATGAAGCCTTATTTCTCCTTCCCTAATCTTCCTAGGTCCTCCCACCTCCCTACGCAAGGCAACTTCATGTTCTCTCTTTCTCTCTCAAGAAAAAAGAAGAAGAAAGAAAAGAAAGGGGGAAAAAACAGTAAAAAGATTTTTAAAAAATGGTCACATACACAAAATGGAATCTATTTTGTGTTGGCCAACTACTCCTGGGCATGGGGACTGCCCTGGAGTGTGGTCGATAGACAGTCCATTGGAGAAATTGATTTTCTGCTTATTCGCAAGCATCTATTGCACATATTTTCTTGAATGGGGGTGGGGCTTTGTGTCCACTTCCTCTTTGTGGGGAGTCTCTGCAAACACCATGATCCACAGAGTATCAATCCACATGAAGCTGGAAGGAAGGCCAGTTGAATATGACTTGGTAGTCAGTGTTGCTCAAACTTCAAGAGTTCAACACCAAGTAGTTTGTTTTAGGCTTTTCTAAGCACAGCACAATTTGGAGAAAGGTTTCCTGGTGATAATTAACTCAGTTCCGTGTGTACATCAAAAACGTAAGACATGACTACATCAAAATTCTTGTAAGGTACAAGTAGCATCTTCCATAAAGACAGGTGCTCTCGGTTAACTGAAGAAGCAGACTCAAGGTAAACAACGCTCCTGATAAGGATCTGGGGAGGGCAGAGCTCTAGATTGACTGAGATAAACATCTGGATCTGGGGGAGGAGAGAGCCCTAGATTGACTGAGATAAACATCTGGGTCTGGAGGAGGAGAGAGCTCTAGACTGACTGAGATAAACATCTGGGTCTGGAGGAGGAGAGAGCTCTAGACTGACTGAGATAAACATCTGGATCTGGGGAGGATAGAGCTCTTGACTGACTGAGATAAACATCTGGCTCTGGGGAGGAGAGAGCCCTAGACTGACTGAGATAAACATCTGGGTCTGGGGGAGGAGAGAGCTCTAGACTGACTGAGATAAACATCTGGGTCTGGGGAGGCTGGAGCTCTAGACTGACTGAGATAAACATCTGGGTCTGGGGGAGGATAGAGCTCTAGACTGACATAGATAAACATCTGGGTCTTTGGGAGGCAGTGTGGCCTGGCTGTACAGACAGTACAGGGGTCACCAGGCTATTAGCCACCACTTTCCCAGTCTTCTGGGAGGAAAATGGGTTGCATGTCCTCTAATTTTGACTGCTGTGGGACCATGGTCTGTACCCCCTGTCAATCGTATTTAATAAATGCTGATTGGCCAGTAGCCAGGGCAGGAAGTACAGGTAGGATGACCAAGCAAGATGTGACTGCCTCACCTAAAAAGGTACCGAGCCACGTGGCAAACACAGACACACATTATGGGCTACTATAAGTTATAAGAGCTAGTTAATAAGAAGAGTCTGAGATGCTGGGCCAATCAGTTTATAATTAATGTAGGCCTCTGTGTGTTTCTCTGGGACTGAACGACTGCAGGACCAGGTGGGACAGAAACCTCAATCAACTTTTGACAGACAGGCAACCCTGCATGTTTAAACACTTCTGGTTTCTCCAGTGCTTCTCTGTGAGCACAGTGACATACATATTCCTACACTTTGTCTGAGATTTTGGAAGATGCTGGGGCTGGGGAAGGTGGTTCCACCCCCCCCCCCCCACACACACACACAATCTCATCACATGGCTACTACATACTAAACCCGAGACTGGCCCTTGTTTTCCTCTGGCCTCACCCACCCTATTACTGGTACAACAGGACTTTTGCTACAATTCCAAACTTGTTTGATGAAGGAGGGTCATCTTTCTATCTGTTGTTTCATTGGTTAAGTAATAAAGAAACTGCTTGGCCTCTGATAGGATGCTGGGAGAAAGAAGCTGAGTCAGGCAGTCACCATGATTCTCCCACTCCAAAGAGATGCAGGTTAAGATCTTCCCTGGTAAGCCACATCCTGGACTACACAGATTATTAGAAATGGGTTAGATCAATATGTAAGAGCTAGCCAATAAGAGGCTGGAACTAATGGGCCAGGCAGTGTTTAAAAGAATACAGTTTCCATGTAATTATTTCGGGTAAAGCTAGCCGGGTGGCGGGAAGCAGCCCGCTGCTCCTATTACAACACTTGTTTCAATAGTATTTAATAAATAAATAGACATAGTCCTCTCCTGTCACAGAAAACTATAGGAAATTATAGGTCAGCTGATTTGTTTTACTGTAGTTGACCTTTTTCAGTCTCTATGTGCTCCAAAACATCATATTGTAAATTTTAAACATACATAATAAACTTTGTGTTTGGAAGAAAAGCCGAACGGTAGTGGCTCACGCTTTTAATCCCAGCACTCGGGAGGCAGAGGCAGGCAGATCTCTGTGAGTTCGAGGCCAGCCTGGTCTACAAGAGCTAGTTCCAGGATAGGCTCCAAAGCTACAGAGAAACCCTGTCTCAAAAAAAAAAATCAAAAAAAAAACCAAAACAAAACAAAAAAAAAACTATGTATATGTGAAGCTAGCTCACAAAAATTCAAATCCAATATTCAAATTCAAGAGCAATAATGCCAAGAAGTTCATGAGGCAATGGATACTTCTAATAACTTAATAAGCTAATAATTTAATGACCCTTGACACAGAACCAATTTTCCCAAATAGGTGATGAACCCAGGCAAGTCTCCTCCTTAAGGTACACTCAGGTGTCATAGTTCAAATCTTGAACCACAGACTATAACTCTTAGAATAACATAGTACATCTTGGTAGATAACCCCAAGAAGCAATGGGATTATACCTTACCATTCTCCACACTGTACTAAAACATCTGGCCCAGGAACTTAAGGAGGAGAGGCTCACTTTGCCATCCCAGTGGGGACACATGGCGGCTGGAGTGGTGTAGTTCATGGCAGCCGGGCTACAGCTGATGCCTGTTCACAAGAGAATCAGAAAGCAGGGCTTGCTCCAAAACCAGAGCCAGTATGACCTTCAAGGCCTGCACCCAAGCGATCAGGAGCTTTGCCAGCTCTAAGCCACCCTGGCCTATGCTCCAAGAACCTGGAGGGCTTCCGGTTTTCATGTAGATAAGACGAGCTTCTTTCGCAGGGTGTGCTGCAGGCTCAGATAGTATTTCTCCTTAGAAGAAACTCTGCTGTTCCAGGCATAAACTTTGTCCATAAGCTCGACGTGGAGGTCCACGAGTGGGCGTTTCCTGGAGGGAAAGAGAAAGGCGAATTTTCATGCCACGCAAATGCCAACAGGGCGAGAAGAGCCAGCAGGTGTGAGCATTCTTGGAAACCCACCCTTTTTAAAGTATTCCGGAAGATGTTTAGCAAACAATACAAACAAGTTGGCAGAGTCTCCTTCCACGGAGACAGCTGGATTTTACTGAGAACACACCAGCTAGGTGATAAGCCACCTGGATAGCACATGCAAAGACGGGAAGACTGTCAAAAGCCAATGCTGGCTCCCGGCCCCTGAAGCATCTCCTTTAGAAGGCTGCAGCATTCCCAGCAGGCCATGGAGGAGACTAAGGAGAGAAACTAGACAGACGTCTGGGGACCTCACAATACAAACCTTTGAGTAGTAGCTCATTGTAATTAGGGGGCCAATAAAAAAAGGTCAATTCATCTTATATCTGAAGGATGTTGTGGCTTCCAGGACAGTAATGGATCCTTTAGGGAAATAACTCCTAATAAACATCAAAAATGTCTATAGTCAGGCTGGAGAGATGGCTCAGTGGTTAAGAGCACTGCCTGCCCTTCCAAAGGTCCTGAGTTCAGTTCCCAGCAACCACATGATGGTTCACAACCATCTGTAATGAGATGTGGTGTCCTCTTCTGGCCTGCAGGCATACACGCACACAGAATACTGAGAATACTGTATATGTATATGTAATAAACAAATAATTTTTTTAAATGTCTATAGTCGTGGAAGCCAAGACCCTCAGTGGAAGCATCTATGCAAAGAGACCAAACCCTAACCCTACAGTAAACACACACACTGTACTTTTTCTATAACACACACCTAGGGTAACGCTTAATTCATGTTAGCAGAGTGTAAGAAATACATTCAAACAAGCAAAGAGATGATAGCGCTATCTGAATCTCTATCACACCCCAAAGCAACCCTAGCAGGGATTACTTTTTCTTTGGCAGGTCATCAGACAGAGCACAGTGGTCATCTCCATTGTGGTAGATGGTTGAGGACCAAGGTGGAAGTCAGGACCGCAGGGCCTACCTTTCTTGTTCCAGCTGCCGGGAGAGGTTCTGCAGGTACACGGAGGATGAGCTGGTGGGCTGCTCTACCTGGGAGACGTCCGCCGTGCACAGGCTCCAGAAGATGTCAGCTTCGCGGTGGACCATGCAGGGGCCAGGATGCTGGGTCTTAGAGTCTAAGCTTCTTACTGCCGGCCCATCTACCTCTAGGCTGCTGTCTTCCAACTGGCTACTTAACACCTCGTAGCTCTGAATAAAGAAGAGCTTTGGCTTCCCTCTTAGAGGAGAGCACGCGTCCCCCATGAATATGCTCTTGACATAATCCAAGGAGAACCCCGTGGGAGCCTGATCCACACCCATCATCCTTTGGGAGCCTCCCCGGCTCACTAGAACGCACACGAAGCTGTCATAGTCTCTGTGTTGGGGCAGACTGGCAAACCGGTGAAGAATCTTAATTATCTCTTCCGCGCTGGGAAACAAGAAAGGATGGACGTGATAGCCCAGGGATGTGAAGGTCCTGCGAAGATATTCTGGGGAAAACAGAAAACAAACACCTAAGCGAGACGAGCCAAAGAGACTCCTAGCATTATCTATCTCCACCACATCTCTGTTTCTGTGTAATGACGCTCTGAGGCCTCCCAATTCAGAAGTAATGAAACATGTGACGTTCATATCCCAGGCTTCTCACAAAGGAGCACTCCCGCTACACCTCCTTCTCTGTCCACGGCTACCAGCAGATTGGACGGGACCTGGACGGAACCCACCTAAAGCAACCGAACCTGGGACCCAGGGGTGTGGCTGGTTGAGGAAGCCTGCTTAGCGTGCGCGAGGCCTAGCATTTGAGCCCCAGCAATGGATTTTTTTAAAAGACACAGCCTCCTCCTGGCCCTGTCTTGCCTTCACGTGACTGATTCTGGGAAAACCGGTACTATAACACAAAGGCGGGGTCCTGGACCACGTAAGGGAAGACTGAAGCCTCTCCCCAGCCTCCAGCGACAGCTTTCTTCCAGCCAGCCAATGAATGGCCTACAAACGGCTCCTCCAATCTCCATCAAGCCTTCAATTGGCCCCAGCTGACTCTGGGTACCTCATCAAAGACCCTAAAACGGAACAGTCTCCCTAAGCAGTTCCTAAAGTCCTAACCCACAGAAACGGGGAGAGATAAGCAAATGAATAGTTTGCGTAAACCTCTTAATTGTAGAGTGATTTATACACGTTATAAAATAAATAATGCACCAAGTAAGTCTTTTGTCCTCTCTTTAAGACTGCAGTTATATTCTGTATTCTTTTAGTCTCTCTTTTTTTTCCTTTTCTTCTCTTTTTCTTTCTTTCTTTTTTTTTTTTTTTTTTTTTTTTTGAGACAGGTTTTCTCTGTAGCTTTGGAGCCTGTCCTGGCACTAGCTCTTGTAGACCAGGCTGGCCTCGAACTCACAGAGATCCGCCTGCCTCTGCCTCCCGAGTGCTGGGATTAAAGGCGTGCACCACCACCGCCCGGCTTAGCCTCTCTTAAAATGAATTCTATTTGCTAACACTGAAGGGATATAAGGTACAGACATTGTTAATCAATCAGCAGACATCTTCTTAAGGAAATGATGATGTGATCCACAGGCTGCTGATAACCTATTGGATACCCATCTTCCCCTTGTAAGATCTGGGTGTTAGGAACGATTGAGTCACACTGACCCACCCTCACCCCCTCCCTGGGGTGTGAGCAAGGTTTTACAGCCCAGAATCATACCCAGGCTGGGTCCAGGACAGGAAAACAAGAGAAGCAACGACAGAACTGTCACCACCTTGCAGAAATAAAAACATCCTAGAGACATATATAGCCCCCTCTCTAAATCAGACTGTTGAAATATCCGACCCCAAGAAATTAGAATTACCCCCAGAACCTCAGTCTGGGAGATGGAAAAGGCTGAAGCTCACTCCCATCACGCTGCAGTCAGCGGGCAGCAGCATGGGAAGGGGAAAAGCAGAACCAACCCCACGAGATCTGAGTTTAAGTCCGGGCTCCCCATCTCCTCCTTAAGAGTCTCAGCTTCCTCACAGGGGTAAGGGTGGGGCACACGTCTAAGAGAGACCGGAACGGAGGCAACAGTGGTGGACAGGACCAGACCTTGACCAGGACAGCTTAGTTATGCATTCTTTCTACCTTCTATTTAAACCTAAAAACTTCATGCCAGGATCCTGAAAACGGATTAGAGGACACTGAACCTCTTTGCTCTTCTTTCCGACGTGGCCATTTTGAATAAGCATCATTTTATTCTGCTTTTCACTATTGATTGTGTTTTTAATTGTTCTACTGAGGAAAAGGTGGCCGAACGTCTCTTGTTAGCGCTCCCAGGACTAACAACTCCTGGGGTCACCGGACGGCAGTTCCGTGGCGATCTCGTTCCAAAAGGCTCCTTCTCTTGCTATGGCATATCCGCTCCTCTAGGGGACAGAAGTAAACAGGGAAACGCAGGTTCCAAAACTCCTGCTCACGTGCATACTGGCTGATTTTCAAGTCTCTCCACTGCTAAAGTCTTTCCTTCTGAAAGCCTTGACAAAGAGCTCGGGGCGGGAGGCGGGGGGAGGGTAGGACAGAGGCTGCTCTGTGCCTTCCGGCGCCTTCGTTTTCCTTCGGTTCCGCCTTAGCGTCCCTCACGCTGCTGCGAAGAAGAAATCGCGATCTGAGTTTAAGTCCGGGCTCCCTACCTCCTCTTTAGAGCCTCATCTTCCTCACAGGGCCTAAGGGTAGGGCCAGCATCTAAGATCTAAAGCAGGAAATCCTTCCCCAAAACAAGAGGGAAGAGCGAAGGTCCCAAATACCACAGACACCACCAGGATCTGTAAGGGTCTTGGAACAAAACGGAACCGCCCTCCAATATGCTCCTGGCAAGGGAAAGTCATCACCCAGCTGACATTTTCCACGTGCACCGTATTTCCTCTATTAGAGGGCAAGGTGGGTAAGGATGCCAGCCGGAGTGGCACGCACATTCCTTTTCTTCTTGGGCCAGCAAGGACGAGCACGTAGCCCAGTCTGATTTATAGGCTCTAAGGGGTGCAACTTTGAGTAAATTAGAGATTCCATTTATTCCTCTGTGAAACAGGCTCAGTACAGGCTCAGCCTAAACGAAGAGGTGGAACCCAGTAGGGTTTCTGTAAAGATGCGCATAAGCTGCATTTATTCAGGCATAACGATTACTTTTTGTTTTGGGGGGTTTTTGTTTTGTTTTGTTTTTTTAAAAAAATATTTATTTATTTATTTATTATGTATACAATATTCTGTCTGTGTGTATGCCTGAAGGCTAGAAGAGAGCACCAGACCTCACTACAGATGGTTATCAGCCACTATGTGGTTGCCGGGAATTGAACTCAGGACCTTTGGAAGAGCAGGCAGTGCTCCCAACTGCTGAGCCATCTCTCCAGCCCTGTTTTTTGTTTTTTGTTTGTTTTTTGTTTTTTGAGACAGGTTTCTCTGTAGCTTTGGTGCCTGTCCTGGAACTAGCTCTTGTAGACCAGGCTGGCCTCGAACTCCCAGAGATCCGCCTGCCTCTGCCTCCCGAGTGCTGGGATTAAAGGCGTGCGCCACCACCACCCAGCCATAACGATTACTTTTAAAAGCGATGAAGGCAGCCACATGCTTCCCCAATCAGGGACCCTGCTGCGCATCTCTTTGTAAATGACACTTCTTATGACTTGGATAGAGGTCTCACTACCCTAAATTAAAACAGTTTTGGGACAGAAAGGTTGGTGGTTTTCTGTGTCAACTTGACAGACGCTGGAGTCAGCAGAGGAAGGAGCCTCAGTTGAGGAGACATCTCCATGAGACCTAGCTGTAGAGTATTTTCTCAGTTAGTGATCAATGGGCGGGGGGTGGGTGGTCCCATCCCTACATCCTGAGTTCTACCAGAAAGTAGGTTGAGCAAGCCATGGGGAAGTAAGCCAGTAAGCAGCACCCTCCCCCACTCCCTCCCCGTGGCACCTGCATCGGCTCCTGCCTCCAGATTTCAGGCCCGCTTGAGTTGCTCCCCGACTTGTTCTTGGCCATGGTGTTTTGTTGCAGCAATGGAAACCCTAAGACCGCTGCTGTATGGCTTTACAAATAGAGGAAGAAACAGTTGGGCACCAGGTTTGGAAAATAAAACTCCAACAAATGCAGAAGCCCCACTTCTCCTTCTCCCCACCCTGGAAACTCCACTCCCCTCCCAGTCACAGCTTAGTAAGTTACAACTGCTTCTTAGAAAACACTTCCAGGGCTGGAGAGACAGCTCAACCAACCGTTAAAGGCTAGGCTCCCAAGCACAAATAAGAGAAAACACTTCTAGAAGTCATGGAAGTTAATGCAAGACTGCCAGGAACTACCCTCAGGGCTAGGAACTCTAGAGCTAACTCAGTAAGATGCCAGCAATTTATTCATTTAAAATTAATTTGAGAGGCTAGTACTTAAAATCACTGGGTGTTTCCAGAGGAGCTGGGTTCCATTCAGCTCACGACTGTCTGTAAGTTCAGTTTCAGGAAATCCACGGCACCAGGCACACACGTGGTGCACATGTGTATGCATGCAGGCAACACACCCTTATACATAAAACAAAATAAATAAAATTTTTTTTAACAATTCATTCGAGATAAATAAGTGGACTTATCTTGATGATGTCTAAATAGATATATGGAATGATTCAGAAGACCCTTCACCGGTCTATTTACAATCAGTTATCGAATGCCCTCCATAAGCCAACACAAGGTGGGCGGGATACCCTGGGGAGGAAAAGCGAGTTCTCTAAGGAGGACGAGGCAAAAATGGATTTCTGAGTCTGTGCATTTATGGAGGTCACAGGACAGCCTTGGGTATCATTTTTTCCTCATGTTTGAGAAGCTCTCTTGGCTGTTCTGTCCATGTATCATGCTAGCCAGCCCAGGAGCTTCCAGAAAATCTCTCGTCTCCCCATAGGAGGGCTGGGATTACAGCCACCTGCACTAAATGTTGGCATTTATTTGGGACCTAAGAATTTGAACTCAGGTCTTCAGCCTTTACCCAAGAGCAATCTAATCCTAAAAGGGTTTCCTCTTTCTTCTTTCCTTCCCTTCCTTTTTTTTTTTCTTTTGGCTTGAAGACAATCAATTTTTCTGAGAGTTTAAAAGAAAAGCCCCTAGGGCCAGGAAGTGAGAAAACTCAGCAGCTACCAGGAAGAGGCGAACTGGGAAGAAAAGGAGAAATGGCCATTTGAGCCAACACGAAGGTCAGACATGTGGCAGACAACAGTCACGTGGCTTATGCACTTTGCAGCTGGGACAGCTTTGTGGACCCACAGACGTGAGTCTGTTCCACCTTGGCTGGAGGTCAGAGAGTTTGAGCTGATTTTTCCGCTCTTTCAAAGTTGTTGATAACAGGTGTGGCCACACACCCTGACCTGGGGTGCAGTTACTTAGTGTTTTGGACATTAAGACAGCCCCCAGAGTTGGGTCCGTTCTACCCTGACCATAGGTCAGAGAATTCAAGCCTATTCCTGCTCATTCATTTTAAAACAGGAGGTTTTGACATAGGAAG